CAGCTGTCTTTCCTAGGCAGTTAATCTATCAGCATGAATCTCCCTTTAAAACTGGAGGGGATGGAAAGATGTGGAAGGAAAAGGAAAAAAGGGAGGCAGAAAGGGAAGCCAGGGACAGTCTCATAAGAAAAATTAGAGAAAGAATTTGAAAACACTGCAAAGTCTTTCTCACAGAAGAGAGGCTGATGGGGGCTGGGAGCGAGCAGAAATCTGGAGAGCGCAGGAACACAGCGAGTAACGCATTGTAGCACTTTGCCACTGCACTGCAGAGCTAATGTGGGCCCCAACGCACAAGGGCACACACTGTGGCAGGGCAGGAGAAGTCTACCCCTCTCTCTCAGGGCTGCTAAGGGCTGAGCCAATGTTAGCATCCTTCCCTCCAACCTTGTGCACCACAATAGCAGTTATGTACATGGGCAAGCAGCATGCAAACAGAACAGCTCCCAAGCACCTTCCTCCCCCTGCAGCATCCCAGCAGCATGCAGACCTAACTGCCCAGAGCATTTTAGTGCTGGGATTTTTAACTAGGAAACTGAACCAATGTTCCCTTCCACTTGTGATCAGATTTCGGGCTAGCATTACTCACATCTGACGGCCTTGTGTATACCTCATGCCTCCCACCTGACAGGCGGGCAGACACCCTCACCCAGTCACCAAGAACATGCATACCAGTCAAACACATTCACATGCAACAAGCCAGGGCTGCCTACAAGATGGGGATGATGTCAGACGCTAGTAAAGTAGCAATGGAAATATTTTCACTTTGCCACTGAAACACTTCAGGCACCGATTCATTCCAGGGCTACAACAGCTGTCCCATTACCCTGGGCTGCTAGATGGGATGACAGTGGAGATCAGAGTGGCCTGCCTCTGGTACCTAAAGTGGCTAAGTTGGAGGACAGCAAAAGAGATAGAGAAAAAAAATACAGATTGTTCTCAAAATGCTTCAGTTCTTGGAAGTCTGACCTCTCCAGGTGCTCCCAGTACCGCCCTTCTCTCCCTTTCTCCTTTCAGCCCCTTCCTCTGCTTTTCTATTAAAACTGCTCTCTTTCTTATCCACAGCTTTGTATGCATCCTTTTCACAGCATCTGATGAAGTGAGCTTCGACCCATAAAAGTTTGTGTGTTACACACGCACACAATTTGGTTGATCTATTAGGTGCAAATCTACCCTGCCTTCTACTTGACTTCAGACTAACTACAGTCTCTCTCCTTCACTACATCAAGGATAAAGCCAGGTTAAAAGTTACCAGCTCTCACAGACACAGCAAGTGTGTTTTTGCACCCTGTTGAGGTTTTTTTTGTTCAGCTGCTAATTTGCAGGCATCAGTACATGCATCAGGATAAGCCAAGGCTTCTTTTCAGGTCTTGCCATTCTGTGGAGTATGCAGGGGACTACATCTCTAGCCCTCTCCCAGGGCAACAGACCAAGTTAATATATTACTAACATGAAGTACTGTAGTTTCAAATGGTTCCTTGGGTTAGCACCATAGATTGGCCCCTGCGTTTATTTATACTGCTAGCTTTCCCCAGGAGTGCCTGCACATGAACTCTAGCACAGATGAAAGCTTTAAAAAGAACTTGCCGCTTGAGCCAATTAATGAGAGGGTGTTTATGAATTAGGGAGGAAGGACATTTAAAGCAGAAAGGCTATTCTTTCTGGTGCTGTGAGGCCCCACACCTTCAGATAAAGGACTTCTCCAGCTGTGTGGACAGCAGGGTCTGTAAGAGGGAACACCCAGAATTCCCTAAATACAATGCCAGAATGGAGAAGCTCCAGAGCACATCCTGCAGCAAAATGTCATGCTCCAGACATCTGCCAACATGACAAATTGCGAGAAACGATTGCTTGGTGTTCCGACACAGGTCCCAGCACCTGGAGGGCAGGAGGGCAGCAAACAGGCATGCCAGGCTCCCTGTGGCATTGCTCTGTTCTTAAACAGATGCATACATACAAGACAAATAGAGCTGGTTCTGAACTCGCATGTCAGTGCTAGTGAGTAATGTGTCGAGTAACCTTAGAGACACCACCAGCATGAAAAGAGCCCTTTTACCCTCCAGAGGACATTCAAATGCAATAAAGCTCCCACAGCAACCATAACCACTCCCCAGTCCTCAAAAGGTCCCTCAGAGATGACTCAATCCCAAGTAAGCTCCTCTCCTGTCTGCTTTGTATCTACCAGGGAATGAATAAACCAGCACCTGGTCAGTCCAACATAGCTGGAGTTCATCACTGGGCTGCCACTTCCAGAACAGATTCTTCCCTGGATTGTGCCTATTCTGAGGCAATGGAACTGCCATCAAAAAGGCTGAGGAGCTCTTAACACAAGCACATATCACCGAAATGCTGTCAAATCCTGGGATGCTGAATTTCCATGGAGTTTAGGGGTTCCTTGCTCTAGAAAGTCCAGGTTGGGGCCAGAATTGTGAAACCGCCTCACTCCCCACCCCCCAGGTCTTGTCATTATTGTTCCCTCGTTGATTAGGCAGGCAGGAACAGAATGCCTGACACCCAAAAGCTTGCAAAAGAAGTTTTCCAAGTATTTTAGTTGGTTTAATAAAAGGTATCGAATGTACCCAAAAAACCTTGTCTGACCTGTTTCTGTGCACAGAGCACACCTCATTCCCAGTTTCACAAATCTGTCTCTATCCATGGAAACCAGTTAAGTATTTCTTCCAGGCTTCACCTGCAACTCCCCTAGGCTCGGAACAGTATGTTTGAAATATCTGTACTCTGAATCATCATGGAAGGCATTTAACTTCAGAGATTCACAGAAAGAGCAGAGGAGTGGAGTTTGTTGCTGCTGTTGACCTGACTCTGTTTTTCCTATGCATGTTATTCTGGTGGAGTTGGACAACTATAGAAAAGTAGGGCTAGGAAAACATGGCAGGTGTTTCTGCTGGGGGCCCTGCTTATGTCAGACAACGGGGCAGCTGTGACCTCCACCCATTTCAACACAGAAGCTCAGAGGCTCACACCTCAGCTGCCTGATTTAACCCATTCCCCAAGCCACAGACACTGTCCCTTGGAACCATGCACATGCACTGGTAAAAAGCACTCCATCTCCCTTCTCTGTGCCAAACCTTCCCCTCAGCCTCCTGATGACGAATGTCTCCAGTCACTTATCCATTCACTTCCCCATCTGAAGGGGTCCGTCCGTATGTCAGCTTTCAACTTCAGAGGCTCACAAAATCCAACGATGACTGCCACCATTAGAAACATCCAAGAGAACCAACATAGGCTGGACCTCCCACTCTGACACCAACTCCTTTCAGGGGTCCCTGCAAACATCACTGCCTAGAAACTGAGTCACATGCAAGACAATCATGCATATCGCAGCTGGCTTGCCTGACAGCATCCTATATAACAGCACATGGAAAAACGTGTACCATGTGAGGGCATAGCCTTACATGCCAGCACGAAGAGTGCTGGCTGACAATGGTACACGTGATCCTTGGATGATACACTGAAACACTAGGATAGATCTAATGTTGCACACTGACTAAGGCAGCAACATGCACATTTAATTGAATAGGGTTTGCTGAACAGTTTGTAATTTAAGCATCTGAATTCTGTTACTAAATAAGATTTATCTAATATAATTTAAATAGTTCAATTGTAAATAAAGAAGGTTAGATGTGTTAAGTACATAGCTGTTTTTTTTGTTTTTTTTTTAGAGTGCTAGAGCAGACACAAAATAATAATGTTGTGCTAGCTCCAACTAACAGATTCAGAAAGTTTACTGTAATTAAATTGTGTGCAATGTGGGCAATTAAATATAATTTGCTAGTGACTACTGCTTTACGCTGAGCTCAGTTATAGGTTCCAGGGTTGGTGAGCAGCCCTCTAAACACCATCTTCTTCTGCCAGGAAGGGGGATAGGAACTATGCTGGTTAAGATACTTAATTACATAGTTACATTTGCTGTAATCATCTGATTTATGTTGCATCTTACTCTGATCTGTTTTCAAAACCAGCTTATTTGTTTTCAATATTTCTTATTTTATCCTCTTTAAGTGATAAAACGTTAAAACACAATTTAAAATACAGCTCCAAGGTATAATTTAAAGAACAACCTCTAGTCAACATATCTCCCTCGAAAATGTATACATAATATTGAGCTCCAACACACTTGGGCAAATATGAACTATACTGAGCATTATATCAAGGTAATCAAATTGACAGCATTAAGCAAATATTTATGAATAAATATGGTGGCATGACATCATCAAAAGCAGTGGTTCTCAGCTTTTTTCGTACCAGGACTCATTTGCAAAGATTGATGGCTTATCCCAACATGCACCCCCCTGGCCCTGCCAGTGCCTGACCCATCCCCCCTGCCCTGTTGCAGCCTCAGCACCTGGCCATCTTCCCCCAGTGGCAGCAGGCACCTGCTCTCCCCACAACTCCAAGCCCTGGCCCTCCAAGCTCTGCTCCCCATACACTTACCTTCATCTGGCTACTCCCATGCCCCTACTTGGCTGCGTGCTGGCCATGGCCCAAGCAGCCCCTTGCAGGCTGGAACACTGCCAGCCTGTAAGGAGAAACCTTCCATGCATTCTTCTGACACTTGCTCACGACCCTTTGAAATATTCTTGCAAACCACTTTTGGGTAGCAACCCACAGGTTGAGAAACACTGATCTAAAGCAATGCATGACACTCAAATACAGCCAGTGACAAAATGTCATGCCATTGCATACAACATATGGTAAAATCATAGAAAATTAGAGGTCAAGTAGTCCAACACCCTGCTCAAAGCAGGACCATCTCCAGCTAGATCATCCCAGCCAAGGCTTTGTCTAGCCAGGTATTAAAAACCTCTAAGGCTGGAGATTCCACCACCTCTCTGGGTATCCTATTCCAGTGCTTTACTACCCTCCTAGTGAGAAAGTTTTTCCTGATATCTAACCTAAACTTCTCTTGCTGCAACTTGAGACCATTTCTCCTTGGTTCTGTCATCTGCCACAACTGGGAACAGTCTTTGTAGCCTAAAGTCATAGCTGCTTATGCAGTCTATATGAAGATCATATTCGCATCAAATATACACTCATGTTTGTAGGTATGATTCTTATATAGCAAGGAGATACCATACATGCAAAGGTCACACCAGTGCAAAGCCACACATACAAGCAGTTGCACAGTTACGGTAGCAGTCAGCCTCCACACTTAAACACATATATAGTATCTCGCCAGCATATAAAAATGCTATTGTGCCGTTTCACAAAAGAGAATTGTACCCCCACCCCCCACAGTGCTACAGGGGCCCCCACAAAAACTTATTTGCAAGGGTTTTCCAAAGACCACAAAGTGTAAGCAGGCAGGATCTGAGGCAAAACACCTCAGAAGGCAAACTTCTCAAAAGATCCGAATTCCACGCGTGTCAGGGCAATAATAGATGCTGGTCCAATTATTGCACTAGTTCTGCTACCGCTTGGATTAGCTGTAGTATATAAATAAGCACAATATCATATAATGCAATTACCATGCTCACACCCAAATCCCACCCACATAGTGATACTTTAAAAAAGCAATCCAGCAGCGACGCAGCAGCATATTATTATTTAAAGGGGAATCCCAAAAAAATCTGAGTTACAAAAGGTGCTGAAGAGCCAATACAGTACTAACAAAGTGATTAGTTCCAAAGGCATCCATAGAATAGCATCTAATGTTCACTACCAATCCAAAACACAGGAGGAAGGGAGCCAGAGTTAGAGGTTTAGAGAGGTTTGACCCAAAGGGCTCCAGAGTGGCAAGGGTCTTTTGGAGTCTCTTATATCAGTGCGCAGCTGAAAGGAAAGTTGTGAGAGGGATCAGTTTCTAAAAGTAAAAGCAGGAAGGTTTACAGTCTTCTAAGCCTCACCTCCTCTTTCC